GCTAATATTTCATGTATATATTTTTAGTTGTCCAGATCATTTCTTTCTATTTTTTTAAGTAGAGACGGGGTCTTGCTCTTGCTCAGGCTGATCTCGAACTCCTGACCTTGAGCGATCCACCTGCCTCGGCCTCCCAGAGTGCTAGGATTACAGGCGTGAGCCACCGCGCCTGGCCAGGCCAGCTGAATTTATTGAAAACAATCCACGTGTATGTGGACCTGTGTAGTTCAAACCCGTTTTGTTCAAGGGTCAACTGTATTAAGTTCCTGTGGATTTATTTCTACGTTTTCTTTTGTGTTTTCTGATGTATTTGTTTATTATGTCATACCAAATTATTGTTACGTGGGTTTCTACCCGCATAAAGGAGATGTTCTTAAAAAGCATATGTTGTTTAATTATTTTATTTCCCCTTCTAGGCGGGAATTTTTAGCATGAATGCTTGCGAGGAAGGCTTTGCTACTGGTGGCAGAGATGGCTGTATTCGTCTTTGGGATTTAACTTTTAAACCAATTACTGTGATTGATCTCAGGGAAACAGACCAGGGATACAAAGGTAATAACAAAACAAATGTCTCATTACTAAGCAAACTCCAAATATACCAAAGATTGTCTTTTTCTTTCAGTAAATATAAATGTATGCTTTAAAAACAAGACATTTGCCTCTTCACACTGTATACATTTAATTGAAATCCTTCTATTAAGGAGAAATTTTACCTATAGAGTGTTTAGATTCACTTTTGTGAGAAGGATTCTTTCATATGCCTAATACCTGTTGTAATGGGTCCTGCAGAGAGATGTGACAGGCATTTACTTTGGTAACCTTGAATTTTGAAAGTAATTTTACTACTAGAATGCTAAATATAATTATTTAGCAAATAAACTTGTAAATAAAGTATGTTGGGATTTGGGGGGACTTTTATTGAGGTTGATTTAAATGTGTATAGATGCGTTTTTCCTTCATACAAATTTGTCAGCAATTGGGGGATTTTAAAAATTTGATGTAATAGAATCTTTCACCACAAAAAGTTAACATATTTACTAGTGTGGTATTGTATTACAGGAGTAGGAATGGGAGTCACACAGGCCTGTATTTAAACCATATGCTAGTCACTTAGGAGGTATGTAACCTTAGGCTAGTAATTTAGCCTTATCAGTAAATTGACGATAATAAGAATAAATATCTTATAAGAATAAATGAGTTAATATATATAAAATGTTTAGAAGAATGTCTGGCACATAATAAGCTTGTAAATGTTAA